TTACTTTAGGTGCGTTTTTGAAGAAAAGCTGGAAACCAGTGATTGGAATCATTGAGCGACTACCTATACGAAGTTTAACAGAACAACATGGCGGTCGGTATAATTAGCCAATGTGTGTGTATGTATGCACAGTGACTAAATAATAAAAGCTACAAAGAACTGCTATCTATTTGGGAAAACCGTGAGCCAGCTCAATTTTGTTGCCCAGTTTAGTCTACCCCTGCAGAAAAACGTACACGTCTACATTGCGGCCATGGCTTAACTTTGGGTTTTTTCGAACTCGACATTAAAAGTTTTTTGTATTAATGGAAGGGAGAAATTGGCACGTTTCTTCTATAAAATATGCTACATGCATGAATCCCTAAAAATTGTTAAAGGCAAAGCTAAAGAATGATGCATTCTATTTAAAAAAGAGATAACTGCGCTCTATAATTAGCCATAACTCGGGTGACGTAACGACTTTTACGTTATTGACAGCAAGGCTTTGTATTGCGTAGAAACCTCCAAATATGAGCACAGCCTTTGTTACCAATAGCAGTGTCTACTGGGATAAGGTTCGTCTCTAGAGAATGAAATAGATAGACCTTTTTTTTTGAATATGGCCGCCGTTGGAAACGTAGAATGGGTATAAAAAAAAATAGATGAAGCAGCAGCGAGTAAGGGCTCTCCTAGCAACTGCTTCATGCTGCCTCCGACCAACGAGAATGTTATGTCGTGACTTTTATATAAAGAGTATGATCTAATTCAAGTTACTTTTGTTTAACGAAATTATCTCTACAGATAAGCGTAGATGAACAACACTATTAGAAGCAATTCTCATTCAAAAAACGACGGAAATTATAAGCAACATAGAGACGGCCATCTGTTTAGATAGGGTTCCTTCCATACCCCTATATATGGATAGATAAGGTTATATCTTTTCAGAGCAATACGGGACTTCAGATGGGATCTTCAGTTTCACCCTCAACATTACTCCATCAGATTAATACCTGTTATGTTCTCTGCTATGTTGGTCAATATATAGATAGTAAGGATGGCTTTTTCTGGAAGAATCATATTATATGGTCGCCAAAATACTAGGTAAAGATGCTTCCGTGTGAACAACTGATCTTGGCCAAGATTATTATTGAAGGATCAAGAGTAGCTTACGGATTTGCCCAACATTGTAGTAGAAGTTTTTGCAATATGGATTCATTATAAGTTAAAATAAAGTTCGATATGAAGTTGGCTGTTAGGGCAAACGGCGTAACTTATGATCTATAGCGAATAAAATTTTGATTTTGTATGCGTGTCCAGACTATCCTAAAAGCAGCTTTAACGATTGTCCTGGTTTTTGACCTTGCAGACTGAGCCTGATAAGAAAAAAAGGCTACAAAAAAAAACTATGTGTCTGGTAAACATCAAGTTTATGCTGAACGTAAAAAAAGCTCTTTCGTAGAATATAAAGTATGTAAACTAGTCTACTTCGCTACTACTATACATGTCAAACGGTATCTACCGTTGGGGCAAAAAAATACGATTTTACCTAGACATCTCCCTGTTTTATTTACTAAAATTGCAGTATCCTTAATTGAGATTGCTCGAACTACTGCATATTGGTATACGATTAAGTTCATAAGCTAAGACTATCACGAGGTATGTTACGGCAAATGCTTCAAAGAACTGGCAAGTAAATCCAGAATGATGAACTGTATTTTCTAATGATTTCATTAATGGGAAAGTAAAATGAAAATCATATAATCTTTTTTAACTCAGATACCTTTATCAACTACGGCTTTTTCCCCAAGGTCGTTCATTCACTAGTCATAAAAGAGCATGGGAAGTTTTATATTTGTTTAGCATCTTTACATATTATTATTTATACGTGAATTAGTCCTCGGAATCGTCGATGTTTAGGTTCAGCCTAGCCGAAAAGCGTCTCACTGGATTTACTTAAGGTTTTTTTTCCAACAAACCTATGGAACAGTACGATAACCATACGAACGGCTTTAGCCTTAATAGTAACACCTTATTTTTGTTCTTAATTTTCCTTGACGTCCCACTGTCCCAATTATTAATGTTTGGTAATAATTTTCGCCCACGCTGAAATTCAAACTGGTCTGGCAGCGTATTGTTTATCTATAGATATTACGGCAACGCATTCAGATACACGCATTAGCCACTCATACCACGTTGCCATCTTCATCGAAGGGTTGCCAACAAGAAAATGGACATGGTTTATGGCAAGCAACGACAACTGGCAGAAGCATGAGACAACTAGGTTGGGTGAGTTTGCCTCGTTCTCTGGAACTTCAATCGGCCTACAACGAAAATTAGTTTCGGTTCAGAAAACGGTATTATTGAATTTATACTCAAGTGGGTTTTTTTTTTCTGTTGCTACACTCCTCTATTAGAATGAGAAGCTACCACTCAGCAACAAATTGCGCAATACCTAATCGCTAAGAGAATTCGCAGCGAAGTAGAGCGTATCGCCGTCTGCAGTGTAACGCACGAGTTTTTTACACAGAACGACCCGGGCCATAAAGCGTTGATGTCGTTTTAGTGCTTCCGCTTGGCGTTCTCACTAGATGGAGTAGAGACAGAAAAAGAGACAATTTCCAATTCAACGAGCGAACTAGGCTCTGTAACTGCAAAAGCAGCTAAACACAAAAGCACGTACACAGAAGTACCCATAGGGTGGTTTAAACCCGACAATTTTAGGACAAAGTCAGTTTTTCGGTTCTGGCCAGCAAGTGAATAGGCAAAGCCATTCGAATATCTTCCTGCAAGGGAGTTTACTGAGCTCAATCGGCAGTTGCTCCTGCAACTTTTCCCTTTGCTATATACAACATTTAATGCAAGCGGCAGTCAAAGCAATCGACCAGCAGGACCATATCGCTTACGCAATTATTAAAAGGTGAAAACTGAAGATATGTAACCCGCAGGTGCCAGGCCTACTCGAATGTTCAGGATCAACGTTCCCTGCAGGGTATGAGAAAGAGCACATAAAGCAACACATATTTACAACGAAGGACTACCAGGCGTCCCAATAAAGATGGCAGAAACAGCGACAGTACGCGTAGCGGGAGTAGTAACGGCGATAAGACAATGTGATCGCCGGTACGTATTAAGGCGGCTCGCAGGCATAGTTCATGAATGAAACGTTAAACTGTTGTCTTTTTGTCATTGAGTGCCTATAGGTCTACCAGACCGAAGATGAAAGGATCTCACATAGGAATAATAGATATTCAAACCCACACTGGATCTTCGTTCTAATACACAATCACTTTTAATAACTATAAACACCCAGGCTTAACTGTTCATTTGTACCTTTCTAACAAGCATCAACTTTATATTGAGCAGTGAGCACTGCCCTACTACTTTTCCAGTGAAATCTAATCCGAGGTCGAACTTGCTCTGAATTAAGGATAAATTTAGTTCGTGCATTTTGATACTTCTTGTACCATTTTGCTTATCTCGTCACGATGACCCTTATGGTCAATGAGGCTATGCTGTGTCAACCCGTTTCATTGCTATCTATTCCATTGTATGAGTTCAGTAATCGTTTTAGCTTGGTGTTCCGTCATTTTTTTGACAAAACGATGCTTTTATTAGCTTACTACTTTGCAGCGATCAGCCCATTCACCTCTATCGCAGCCGTCCCGTTAATAACGTAATTATTCCACAGTCTCGAAAGGGCACTTCGACGCCCCTTCGACGCCCGACGCTTTAAAAGCCCTGGCTTGTGAAGGTACAAATTTTAGTAAATACTAGAGCCCTTTAGTGGGAAAATACCGTATTCGACTTTATGGCAAAAACGGATACGATTGATCTATTTAGAAGATTTACCTCTTTTGTTTTCGAGAGCAGTTATTTTTACCTAGTTTACGTTCGGGTTTACAGCATAAATCGCATTTTCCCACCCTTAATACGGTCCCCTTAAGCCCCCCGATCTGCAAGGAAAATTATCGCAGTTCGTTAAAGCCATTTTTGAACTGGTCCGTCCATATTTACACAGCACATGTACGTGCAAACTCCTGTTCGATTAGGAGTGCAGCGCCGTGATAATAAGTCAAGCCGTTGAACTTTTTGCTAAGAAACGTAACGCAGTAGTGCTTATTGCACAGATGTATCCTCTATCCACTCTGAGATTGGATGATACTGCTAGAGTCATTTGGACTTGGGCCTATAGGACATTTACAGCGTACTAAACCTGATAAATTCTGTTCGAAATACAAACCTATAATTCTCTGTCATCTCTGTCATTTCTATATACATTTTTACTAAGTTAAGAATTCAAACATTATCCCTATTCCAGAGATCGGTGTAACCGAATAGAATTGCCAGCTACTCCAATCGAAAGTACGACTCTGACAAAACGATCAGTATCCACCTGCGTACGCGAAATCCTTTCACAGCAAATGTCTTAAGCCGCAAGAGAAACAAGTCCATAATGTTACGAATTTTAACCCATATGAACTTTCTCATTTCTTGCTTGTACCTCTGAGTTTGTTTCCATTTTTTTATTAAACTTCTAAAAGTGTGAACAGTTATCTATAGCAAAACATTTGAAAAGTCAAGCAGCTTTCAAAAAGGTAGAGCGAAGTGCTAGAGAGCAGTTATTTAGAAAGTTGACGAAACTTTATGAGATACCTTACCTTTTAAACACTTGATTTGATGCTTAAATGTAAGGCAGGTAGTTTAATGTTTTGGCGATTTAAGATAACGTGTTTGCTTATCAAACTAGAAGAATATGTAGTGTGCTCTAGGTGCGAAAGAAGGCCTAGATACACTTTGTCTCATACTGGAAGAGGCCAGCCCTTTAGCGGAATGTTTAAAGCGCAAGTATCGCATAAACTACGAACTCGAACCATTTATTTTAGATAGTTCAACTTCTTCAGACGTCCTAAGATTGCAGTAACTTGTCCAACACTTTGAACATTCAATGTATAGATCAACATATGGTCGTCTATACAACTCGTTCTGATTAGTCGTTAAGGATAGAAATAAATAGCACTCACTTTTTATTCTTCGGTTGCTTCTTCACGTTGGTCTGTTGTTTCGAGCTGTTGTTAGATGCGTTGGAAAAATTGCTAGTCGCCTGCTGACGATCTCCTACGGCCCTTATGCCGGCTGCATCTTCCGGGCCTTCCCAAGCGAGGTCGGCTCTGCGCTCGCCGACGAGGTCTCCGCGCCGCTTCCGCACCCGAATAGGCGTTGATTGTTGGTGACCGTGGCAGATGACCGCGCCCATACCGCTCTCGCAGAGATTCTGCCTTTTTTTGCGTTAACCGGAGCCGTATCTGCCAGGTCTACTGACGGTGCAGTTGTTAACGCAGTGGCACCCTAGCGTCAAGAGGTCACTCGTCGATAGCGGGCAAGCAGGGCATGGCAGAATAATGACGGTCGTACAGCGCGTCGCATTGGAAGAGCAAAGCGAGGCGATGGCTGAACTTATGCAATTGTACCCTTAATGAACAGTTATCGTCATCGGTCATTCAACGTCAATCGGGCTACACGCTACTTTTTGGCACCGGCTTTATCCTTCCGGAAGAGCTTCTAATTTTGCGATTCCATCTTATCTTGATACAACACTTTGTCGTCGCAAAAATAACGACGTCTCCGTTTCTCTTTGGATTGATCGTCAGAATCACCGCACAGTCCGCTTAGCTGATGGCTGATATTTATACTGCTGTTGTCTCGTTTCTGGCCCTTATTCTGCTGATTTATGGCATCGTAAAAAGGAGAGCCACTTCGCAGCTACGAAGTTGGACCTGGAATTTTGTGGCTTTTGCCTCACAGATACTGCACGGGTATGTTGAATTGGTGCGTGAATTCGCGCTATTGGCGACGCAGAAACCGTCGCGATTCAGACAAGAGTCAGGAGCTGCGCGCAGAAGCTGATGCCAGCCACACTGGTAGGCTGTACAGTCGCTTAATATTTATTCCAGATGAAGACACTGAACTGTAATAGTGTAACAATAAAAGAAATAACATTTAGAAGACGAATAGCTAGGAAAGGCCCAACGTATTTCTAAGCACTAAGCATATCAAGTGTAGCAAACCTGTACGTATAAGCTTCCAAAGGATATATTGATGGCTGCAGGTAGTTTAACTAGTATAGTTACTATGCTAGTTATACTACCTATTACTATTCAATCCTATACTAGGCTAAGCTCATGTATAGGATTGAATTCGTTGACTTGGGAGAAAATTTTTGAACAACGTCATTAAAGTTCGGGCGACTACCTATAACGTATTGCTTAGAAAAGAATTCTGTAGTTTATAAGAAAAAAAAATTGATACAGAGAGCTTTAGCACGTATAAGTCTACCTTAGTCTTCTTTCTACAAAAGAGCTTTTTCTTCCTGGAAAAAACGTTTGGTTGCCTAATGCTATTAGTGAATTTGCTTCGAGTATATTCAGTTTTCATCACTTTGAATAGGCTTACACTGTTATTATGCCTATGGACGCCTTTCGCCGAAAGTTGCCAAAAAGAAAAATACAACCATTTAGATAATATAGGAGTCTATTCAGGGTAGGAATGTCGGCCTATGATGCTCTGACGAAGAGAACGAAAACTAATATTAAAAAGACAAATCCGTATTTCGAGCCTAAGCCGATTATCCTGCATCGTTCTTCGTACAGAAGATACTTATGAAAAATCGGCTGTACTTGAGACTGACTACGTTAGTGAATCGTTCCAACTCATCCGAAAGTGACAATAGATTTTAACACACTTTGTGGCTACATTTTCATTTGAAGTTTTTTCGCCTGTACCATTAGCTACCTAATTTCTATGGTTGCGGTTATATTTACAGGTTAATAACTGACAATTAAAAAAAAAAAAACAAAACTGTACTTTCCTACTTTCGTGGACTTTGCTGTGTAAATATTTTGTTTCGTTTTTCTATAGCTTCATTTCCTGTCTCGAACATTCAAAAAGCTTGACTCCAACACACTAGCTTGGTTCCGTTTGACCGTGTGTCCTATAAGTTGGATGCTTAATACACGTCGGATAGGAACGATGGCAGTCGCATTTACGTCACGGGCGGTCTCCGCCGTGCTCCCGTCGTTAGCACTTTTTGCAGTCTTGAACTTTCCTTGTGTGAAAACAATCGTTGTAACTGGGGCCCGGGAGCTATTCGTCGGTTAGATATGGAAACGGGGTGAAGATAGTTGGGTAGAAATAGGGCTTAGCGGCTCTCTACAGCGAAAAAATAAGTCAGTACAAAGACTGGCAGGTTCGTGGTAGCCTCAGGGGACCGCTCATCAGTGCCCGAGTTCCCTGCCGTTCCTGTACTCAGAGCTGCGCTTTGCAGAACGCTCCTTTAGCCAGCAGCGTCCGTTACATCTTAAACAGGACGCAAAGCACGGAAACCTGCCGAACTACCGTTGTTTAACGAAAATTCTAAGCAAGCAGCAACAGCGAGAAACTCCGGTCAAGTCAAGGCTATGGCCGAGACGCGGTGGGGGGACATGCTAAGACAGCATTGCACTGGCGTATGGTGTAACACATGGCTGCACGACCCCTATTAGCTTTGAAGTGCAGTGTCTGGACGGAGGCGTCAACAGAACTGGACGAACACTTGCTTATTGCAAGGGTAATCACAGTACACCAATCTTGTACCACTTTCTCAGATTGAGAGAACCACAAATGCGTCTGATCGGCTACTCTCAACAAGCGAAACATATCCGCGTCTTAAACTTGTTCTTAGACTTGGGTCGTAACCGTTCTGTGACCTGATGCAGCATTCTAACCAACACACATCAAAACATGCTACACACAGAAAGAGTCGCTGTTGTAGAGAGCACTCAATGGCGGATACAATAGTGTACAGGATAATACGGTATCTTGCAGGGTATAAAAAGTCGTATCACTGAATTGTGTTTTGCTCGAACGCACAATTATGTACAAACCGATAAGCCGAGATCTTTTTTGGCTTGCTGAGAAGCTATCTGCGCTTGTCGTTTAACGCTACACGCTTTGGATTGAAATAATATTAGAGCTAGGTCTGAACCTAAGCCCAAAATTATGGGGTACAGAGTTCAGTGGGTGGGGACAGCAGTAAAGTCTAGTGTGTGCAGAAAGCAACCTCCCAAAGAATCCTCGGCAGTAATATTCAATAATGCAGCTTATGGCATTTTAATTCTAAGTTCGTCATTGGAAAAATCGTATTGTAGAGCTTTATAATGACATGTATAGTGGCCTTGTAAGCAGGCGCTTTCATCTCGATATACAAAACACCACCACATCATGTAATAGCTCGATGCGAAAATTTTACTTCGTGCCTCATTCATGCGTTACGAAAAATGTTTCCCTTTCTCGATCGGTCCTTCGATCAAATATCTAGCCATCACATGTGACATACAGCGGTGGAACGCGGAAAAGATAGCTTCCTGTTTGATTTAACGCATGATGCACTGAGCGAAGATTTCTGAAACGCCTTTTCAATGGTTCTTTACGGGAACGTAACATATTTTTCTTAATGTCGTCGATTAAACAGCAATAACTTTGTAGCGTTTCAATATGTAGGAGCAAATATGTTTTCAACGAATGTTGAATTTGCATGGTGGTTCGTTATGTTAGCGTTGCTATTGAAACTGCTCCTTCGTTCTACTAACAACAAACCTGCCTGCACGCAAAATTATGGAAATCATTTTCTTGTAGTAATTGCTCCATAAATAAACGGGCCTTACAAATAACCTTTGAGTATTGAAGTTCTTTGGGAATTTCAGAAGCACATTTGGATGTCGGAATAATAATGAAAGAGTCGTTAATTGTTCATTTTGCGAATCTAATGTTACTTGGTACGTAATGATAGCAACATTTAATTTATCGATTCTTTGTCTGTTTTTCTATAAATTCTTCGAAATGATGCCGTTCACTATTGATGTTTTCTAAATTACGCAGCTTGTGACAGCATCCATCCATGTGGGTGCTCAATCAATGCATACATTTTAATGCTTGTCAGGAGACAAGCCGTATTTTGCAGTAAGCCTGAGTGTGGTGTAAGGTACGATTCCTTCACAATTGTTTTTTAGTGAGCCAGATCTGTTACTCTACACTGTAGTAAAATAAGCTTTAGTTCCTAACATAAATTGTGTATCTGAGCATGGCAAAGGAAACGGAAGGTCGGAACACCTAAGGTTCAATACGCAGGTGCTGTTTCCGGGCTGATCAGCTCCTTGTTTTACAGGCATCCCATCAAATCAGCACGACACGAACCGTGTATCGATGCCCGTGCTCGACCCCGGACCACCGCAACATGTTCCTAAGCTTAGAAAGCGAATACTTTACTTTACCCACGATGCCTTCAACCATCTACGATATTGTCTGTATCATAATAATAGGTATATAGGCAAACTATAATAGTTATGTTAGTGCTTTCGCTTGACTAGCGTGTCTTCGTATCTTGTACTAAATGTCAAAGTATTGGAGTTTTCCATCTAATAGGTACCCATGCTCATCTCCCTCGTAAATTCCCCTACGCTGCTCGACGGCGACACCGGAAGATAGTAGCATTTGTGTGAGTAGGCCAAGCCTCAACTAGAGCTCCGCCTAAACAGCATTTCAGGACTCGATACGACTCCGTCGAAAACGAGACTGATTACAAATGAACCGATCCAGTGAACTTTCTAAGATACAAAAACACGCGTCGTCGCAATGAAAACTTCCAAAGTGCAGGCTATGAGAACGGCTTCGGAACTGAAAAACAGGCTAACCGCTAAAGGGCGGCAGCGAAGGGGAACGTACGTGGAAAGCGTTAAAGGGCTGTTAACGTCGATAATCATTCTTAGTGGTTCGCCTATTTGCAACAAGCTTTTAAGCATGTTGCCTGTACGGAGGGCAACAAGTGCGGACTAAAGGGAACGCTTCAACAAGTTAAACTAGGGGTATCATGGGGTAGTTGCTAGCAACAAAGTACAACAATCAGTGTGCTTCACGTCTTCAATGATCATTGTAGTAATACTGTAATGATGATAATAAAAGCCAGTGTTTGTTTTCGTACTCTCTAATATTATCAAACACGCATGATAATAGACCCGTAGTTCTGTCAAATGGTTGCACAAAGCTCTTCACAAGTCCCGTTTGGTGGGGGGCGCTACCCTACCTAGCAGATCATATACGTAGTATAACCAATATGAAACCTAGAGGAAAGGTCTGCTTTTTGTGCAACGACGGTCCCATAAAGATAAAACTACGCCATCATTTGCTGCTGACGGTGCTTGCTTGCCATGCAAAATGAATAGTCTCGTATAGTTTAGCGGTTCTATATACAGAGAGTATGAATTTATGCATGGAAGTGAGGTTAGAACTACTACGAGTAGCCATATATAAGCAATAGTCAGTGTCCATATGCCGTACAGGTAATGAAATGGTATACATCATGAATGGATTAAGGTATCAACTGCATGTTGTCTGCCACTAAACGATATATATATATATATATATACACCTAGAGATTATGTCCAGGTTGCTACGCGTACAACATTTACAGGAAGCGAAATATCCTGTATAAAATTTTATCGCTGTCTCTATATATAATAGAAGACTGGCAACTGGTGTTTTGATGAATTATGCAGTATGGCTACGTAATTCAACTAATACATGAAGCGTCCCGCTTCATGTGATTATCGCGTTATAGGCGCACAGAAGTTCGCAATGTTTTCTTCAAGGTTTGTTTTGTTAGTTCACTTTAAAACACTTCGTAACCGCAGTACTACGTCGATGAAAGAAGTGACCTGTGATATCAAATGCGCTCACATAAAAGTACAATCATATGATTGACTTTTTTTTTTAACAAAGCAACAGACATGACTAACACATATAAGTATCATATGCAGGCGTTATATAAACAATCAACACATAAAATGTTCACGTCCCCATGAAGATTCACATGGCACATATGTAAATGAAGATCGAGGGTTATAATAAGCCCTTGAGCAAGAATGTTTTACACAA